AAAAAATATAATGAACAACAAGGCTTGGGAAATGTGGGGAAAATGCCCAACTCAAACACAAAGCTGTATAACAGATGATTTAAAACTGGTTATGAACTGTACTTGATCTACTCATTTTTTATCAGCAAGTTCCTAACTTCAGCTAAATTAACATAAACAAGAGATTAAGCACATCCACTCCAAGTGTTTAGAGAAACTGATGCAGACTGCTTCTCGCACAGACAAGGACTAGCTCTCTGGTGTGTGCTTGACTGAGGTTAGTCAGGACTGCCTTTTGTACCACCCCCGAGTAATGTGGGATGACTCATTTGTCAGTGTTGATATACTGAGCTGAAAACACGAAGAGCTTTGTAAGTGCTAAATATTTATCATCAGAATTTCTGGGCATGCCAGAGTATGAAAATAAATGCTGGCAAACTGACCTCAGAAAAACAGTAAAAAAAAGCCTGTAATGCTGAGAAATTTGCTAATTATAGTTCACATCTCCTAACACCACAAAGTAATAGTGATCCTAATCTGGTAGGAAGAGAGGTTTTGATGTCTCTGTTTCTCTTTTCTGTCCTTGTTTTCAGGCACTCGCTTAATGATTGTAGCGTGCAGATCTGTATTCTTTAAAGGATATGGGAAGAAAATTAAAGGGTTACTTCTTCACAGTCATCCTCTGCATGTTCACACAGGACAGTCTGTGATGGGCAAGGAGTCTGTGTTCAAGCATCAGTGTGAGAATCAGATACATGTAAGCACCCACACAGTGTGTATGGGGCAGTGGAGTCATCCAGCTTCCCTTGACCACGAGCAGAGCTCCTGTTAGTGTAGGTGTGCTGCTCCAACGTAAATCAGCTGCCTACATGGATGCAAACATTGGAAGTCTTTCTTATAAAAGCAATTTCACACCCAGTTCGGTCGAATCAGAATTGTCAGGCAAGTTTACCATAGTACATAAGCACCTTTAAACTCTTTGTCACTTCCCTCTGTGCCTCGCACCCTGACATTTCAATGCATCCCAAGAAAGAGGCACCTTTGGCTCTTCTTACAGTAACATGCGGCTGTTTGATGGCAAAAGACAGCAAGGAAGTGGCAATTCGCCAACATTATGTCACGCGATGGCAACTGATTTTTATGTTTGCAGCTTATGCTTAGTTTCCGGACAGAGCGCTCATGGTTTGGGCCCCTCCCCACTAACGAGAAACACGTGTGGCCAGGGCTGGTCTGGCCAGGCTGCCAGGGAACCCACCGGCCTTGGGCTCACTGCTGCAGCAAAACATGGCTCTGAAGTGGGTCTTTCCTGCATGCAGAAGCCTGCTGTTTTAAAAAGTTCTTAACATCTCTCTCAGCTTACATCCCTGTCAAGTCCAGCAGAAGATAGAAGGATGTAAATGGTGCAACACCAGTGACATGAATAAAGCTGTGCCTGCTTCTTCCAAGGGTAAATTTGGCACTTGGTGCAGGGCTGCAGTTACGGCAAATGCTGACAGCTGTGACGTGGGGATGAAGAGCCACCACCATGCAGACTGGGGAGGGCTAGGGAGTTTCAAATTGCCTGTAAATCTTGGCACAAACAAGAATCTGTTGATTTTAAAGAACTGCACTATGTATCAATAACCACGCAAAGACCACCAACGGCTACAAATTCCCCATAGTAAAGCTAGCTATGTTTTCGCTGACTTCCCTGTTGTCACCACTGGACTTCCACCAAAACCTGAGCTAACCATTTTTAATCAACTCTTCTATAAAGTAAGTACAGCATGGACATTTATTACATGCCCACTGATGAGTGAATCTCCAAGGAATCCCTCTGAAAAAGCGTTGAAGGAAGTGAATTCCCTTTGGATGAATCTCCGAATGCCTGTGTGGCAGACACTAAGCTGGAAATCTCACAACAGCAAGTAGTTTTGCAATGTTTCCAAGATGGTCTTGCTACAGTTGACTGGAAACTCCACCACTGGTTCTCCAGTCGCAATTGGATATTCTAGACAGCGCTATCAGAATGGTTAAAAGTGCATTTGGGTTACAGATTTTGAATCTAGATCAAAGCTTTCAGGAAAGTTCAAATGGAGGACTTTGAACTGGACTCACCTCGGATAGATCTGAAAACAAACTGGATATTCTGAATCTACCATCTGTGGCAAATGGCAACATAACACTCCCTTTAAAAATGAGAGTCATTTAAGTAAGCTTATTACTAATCACTGTAAAACCTACTTAAAAGTCCTGCTTAAAGAGATTTACAGACATCTTTCAGATGAAAATTTCCTGTTCAGAAGACAGCCTTAGACTTCTCCACTGGGACTGCAGCAAAGCAATGTGTTGTGTGACTCCAAACTCCTGTTTATTTAACATGTGAAGTAATGTACCACTGGGAAGTGGATGACACTCCCTTCAATTTTCAGGTTTATCTCACTTTATGAAGACAATTGCCTCCCATAGATCACACTATTTGTATTTAAACTATTCTGAATGCCACTTGTCTGAAAACTACAAGCAATACAAGACAGACTCAAAATCCTAAGAGAGCACATAGGTTTTAATTTCCATTGGATTATTGGATCTTTAAATGAATATGCTTATAAGCACAGTTTTGGACATGAATAACCTTACTGACTCAGGATAAACTTTATATTGCTGCACAGATCCTATTTCTTCATGTTGGCGAGGCCTTATCTTTGGCCCAGTTACATCCTTCTGCCAAAATAAACAACGTGAGGAAGAAAGGAGGCAGCAATCTGAAAAATGGCAAACATATTATTGCATATTTTTTCAGGCTGTGGCACTGTGTGCATAATTTCTAAAATCATTTTAGCTCACTGACTTGCTTTTGTTAACTCAGGTGCCAAGTATGTTGCAGCAGAAATATGATATTTTCCAAATTTTTTTTTAAATGGATACTTCTTGCTATTGTTTTCCCATTTCTGTAAATCACCAATTTTGCAATACGGCAGCAAGTCAACACACAAGATGCCCATTTCAACAAGCGTGGACATTTTATTTGGCAGAGATCAGTTGGTAGTTAACCGGTGTTAATTTATGCAACTAGGTAACTCTTAAATGAAGGGCAGGATCAGCCTTATTTACACCAGTCCTCCTGCGCTATTTAGGATGACGGTGTCCAGGCACTTAGGGCTCTGCCTTCAACATCTGCTTCTCCACTGTGGACTGTGCTAGAGCAGAAAAGCTGACAGCGGCAGAGGCAGCTTTGTACAAGCTTTGCCGCTCACATGCCTACCCTTGACACATCAGCCACACTTCAGACTTTTTAGTACCTTATACATTTTTCAGTCTGTGCACTGGATGGCATTTCAGCATGTGTTTGTGTTTATGTCACCTCTACCTGCACATCAGAGAGCCAGAAAGCCACAACAGTACATCTGAAACGTCATAGGAGATCGATCCCTTCATGTTTACTAATAGCACTATGGCAAATACATAGGGTTATGTTATCACAGTACCCTATTTTGGGAAGTAAAGTACTTTGCTTGCAGAATCCCACAAAGTTTCAGGACAAAATATATAAATTCAACAGATTTCAGACCATACCTTCCAAGAAAACTGCTTTCTGGTCACACTGTTCAGTCACTTCTTACGATCACAAGTCCTGAATTTTAAATTGAAGCTTCTTGAAAGGATGATACAAATCTCAGTTGAAAGATACAGTTAACTTGAGAATTTTTAAGCTTGTTTTGGTCAGTTTAACCTCATTTAGTCTGAAATCAATCAACGCAGTGGCAATCTGAATGCATTACTACTCAGAGACAACACATTTTTTATGGATCAGAAACAACTTGTACATTTTTTGTCAACTTGAGAACTCAAACCCAGAAATATCAATGTTAGCAACTTTTTTAACGACAAGCTTTACACTCTGCAGAGAGAATAGAATCTATGAGTGGCCCAACAGAAGTACCTCCCACCTTGACCTCTAGGTGGCACAGAAGAACCTAAACTAAGCAGATCTGTTCTGATTTTTCAGGTAATGTTCTACCCTCTCAATCAGCCTCGTCACATCAGCAATTCCAGCATCCCAAAACACACATCTGTTAATCTCTACTAAATAAAATGACAAAATAAGTATTAAAGTGACAGCTACTGTAGCTACGCAGCTCATTTTTACTGCTTTTAAAGGTGCATTGAGATAATAAACTATTAACAGATTCTCCACAGTACATCTAATATCCTTCGAACTCCAACTTGTAATACTTTAAAGGGGCAACAGTCTTACTAGAAACAAAGTTAACGTTTATTTTCAGTTTAACATAAGGATTACTACAGCATTAAAAATACATACCATAAAAAATTTGCAATCGTAATACAGAAGAGAAAAAAAAAACAGAGTAATGACTGAAACATATCAGTTACTTGATCTTTTACAGATTACTGTACATACAAAATAAAAGGGCCAGTGAAAACACATCAAATTATTATTTACTGCGGCAGTAACTATAAATGCTGCTTTTTGACTTAAATAATGTAGCTGTTGGTATGAATACAAGACTGGCATGTTCTCCATGACCAGAGAGAACTTTTACATTAACAATCTAATACTATGCACAGCGGGTGAAGTACCACAGCAGCCCTCAGTCTCTGCATACCACATTGGCATCACACATGCATTTTGCCCTAGTTGAGACACTACAACATGAGACATGAAAGCATTTATTTAACTCTACAAAAACACATGTGTGTGTACACTGCCTCTGCATCAATGCCGCCACCTATTTATCTGCTGTCTTAGCCAAACCATTCCAACTCACGCTTCTGGATCACTCTGACCAAACCCGAAAATATCTGCCCCAGCTCTCTGCGTACTATTGCCCAGGTGGGACTTTGACCACTCTGTCATTCAAAACTATTCAGTCTGAAATGTGTCTACTCTTCCAAGACCAAACATGAAGTTACACATAAAATTTGTCAAAGCATTATGTGGAAGATTATTTACATCAACATATGAAAACAGATCATTGCATCATGCAGCCACAATTAAACAGGAATGGAATTTCTCTCACCTGGCATAGAAGTCTTTTGGTGGAACAACCTCCTGAAAGAACTGCAGCTGGTACAGATAAAGTCCAATCAAGTGCCCCGCACTGAATATAGCCATTAATACACACAGACAGCTGAACATCAGCGGATCAAATGCTTGGCAACAGGACCACCATGTGCACAGGCCCAAAAATACAAAGAAATACACAGCTGAGGTCAAAGATGGCACCATCATACCTGTAAAAATAAGAACATGGAAGGTTGGAGAAGTGGGGACATACCAGCATTTGTCAAACCGGAAGTCTGACAAGAAGCGAATGAATCAACTTAATCCAATTAGTGTTTATGCCAATTATTAGTATTAGCTCTTAAGACTCCTGTTAGCTTTGGGCCTAGAAGAAAAAGGTCTTTTCTGATCAATTCATTTATACCATTTCTTAGAACTCAGTACACAACCACATTCCATACCTTCCTCTGATATGATATCTTATCTTTTTAAAGCTGTTTCACAAAGCATGGAGAAAACCAGAAACTTGGCTGCAAGGCCAGCCAACGCTCCTTGAGAGCACTGGTCTATTAGACTTCAAAATGAATTTTAAATACAAGATTCTAAAATGGCATGATGGGTGAACAGTGAAAAGTCTTCTCATGTAAGTCTTGAGATATCCTGAGTTATTAAAATAAAAAACAAAACTGCATGCATATACTTAAAATAAAAGAGGTCTTCATAAAATCTAGAGGATATTGAGTAAATGTTTAATTATTTTTTAACTCTTAGAAACTTGTAATTTAAGTATGACAAAGACTCTACTGTGTTACATATGTATATTGTACTTGCACTTGCACATACAGCAAATTATTTCACCTCTGAAAATGCCTAACTGGCGAAGGAAACCCAATGCTCTGTGTGTAGCCTACAGATATAAGTGAAGAAGCAGGAAAGACATAAATGTCTGAGAGTGGCAACATAAGAAAATTATGTAAGAGAGCTTACACCCAGCACAGAAGTCCAGTGGAATCTCTGAAGTAACAGTACCAAAGCTAATAGGGACGCCTGCCTCAATTTATTTTTAAGTTTTTTACTTAGTGCATGTTTAGGAGCCACCTTCCTCGGGACGGACCGGCAGGCTCCTGGTGGTCCACAGCTCCAGCAGAGCTGCTGGTCCCGCAGCTGGGCCACCACTCCAGCAGAAGGATTTGCATCTTGCCAGGTGTTGCCTTGCCATGTTTCTGGGGGGCAGCAGGCTGGGGGTCACTAGACAAAGTGTTTAGGCTAGGGTGTTCTGTCTCTCCTCCAGCGTACAATATGCTGGCGTTTCCATAGGCTCACAGATTTCAAAGCATGTGAGGACCACAGCGACCATGATGAGGGCTGTAAAACTTCACCCAGCAATTTCTGCCTCTAGCCTGCAACTACTTCCTTTCTTCTTTAAGAGAGATACTTTGCCTTTTTTAAACACTTCAGGAAAAGGAAAATCCACTATATCCATAAAGAAGTTGTTTATTATGGCCAATTGCTCTGGCTGTGAAAAATGCAAAATTTATTTCTGGTCTGAAATTGCTTAGATCTACCACTTAACTATTGGCTCATATTATACATTCTACTAGATGAGATGTCTGTTAAAAAAATGGAGGCACTTTGTACCTTTGTCAGTCCTTTAAGACTGCAGTCAAACCACCATTCATCTTTTTTTCATTCTTGGCACAGTAAGTAAGGAAGTATTTAACTAATTAAGCTAGAGTTCTCTCTCTGGAATACAGGCTTCCCAGACCTCGAGTCCTTTTTGTAACTCTCCCCCAAACACCTCCTGGCTCTCGGCATGTGTTGGAGTCCTGCAGACAAGCTGCCCATCACCACTTAGATGAAATTGTCCCCCCGCCACTGCCTCATGATCCTTCATCTGCTTCATTCTCCCTGGGTGATGTTCAGAAGGGTATCTTTTTTTTTGTTTTTGTTTTTTTTTTTTTAATAGCATCTCTTTTCTCTGGTACCAGGATCCATGATGATCCACTTAGCTTATTTTTTCCCTTTTTAGAGCTACTACTTTGCATCTGGCTCTATGTGAGGCTGTCAGATAATCTTATGTTACTGAAAGAGCCTGCCTTACTGAAAGGGCCACACCTGAGCAGTCCCTGTCATTCAATATCAAACTTTTTTTGCCCTATTCCTTTATACTTCAAATACAAGCATACTATATATTAAGTATACACTTATACTATATATGTAAGGACTTAATTCAAACATGTGAGTAGGCAGATAAATGCTAATTTAAAACTGCATGATCCAATTTTGAATTCATTAATTACAGCCCGCAGTGGTTTTTGTACACTTCCATTCTGGCTGTAGCTGATTATGTGTTAATAAATCAAATGTCTTACAAAAACATTAGCTATATCATATCAAAACAACTACTTTTACCAACCACATAAAAAATGAAGTCTGCTTATCACTCTTTTTACACACTACATGGTAAACCTATTAAGCTTTCCTTTTTTGGGGTTTTGTAAATGCTATGTGAATACAGTTCCTTTTTACACTCAGAAGTGAAAGAACCAATTCTATGAATTCACATTATAATATATATCTACTTATCATATGCAACCATTCACCATTAGGTTATAATAGCAACTATGAAAGTCATATACAGAATGATAGGGCCCCACAATATTAGTACAAAAAAAATATGAAACTCAGTGTATTCCAATGCCTGTCAAAAAGTTAATTTAAATAAAATCAATAGCAATTCATTTTCTCTTTAAAATTTCCATTGCTATTCCTGCAGGTGCCAAAGAGCTGAAAATCCATTTGTTAAATGCAAAAATCTAATGGGCTCTGAAGGAAATTTTTCAAATGCACTAAAAAAGTAAAATTGTAACAACAACTTTTCCAGTGGTGATTATCATGTTGCCAATAAACTCCCTCAGTTTGGATGCCAGGGAGGCAATTCTACGTAGCAGTTTTAATTTCACGGTTTCCTCAAATTCTGCTTCACCACAGTCTTCATCGTCCAGATCTTCTTCATACATCAAAGCATCATCTGGTTCTAACTTGTCTCTTATAGCCTAGACGAGGAAGGGGGAAAGAAAAAAAAAGAATGCAGAAGACAGAGAGACAAGGAAATTTGAAATCAAAAACCATAGTTAATAGCGAAGTTTTCTTATAAACTTTGACTGTGCAAGTAACAAGAGAGTTAAGAAAAATGTCGTAAAGCTAGAGCTATAGGTTGATGGCTCCCACTTCAGATCTGTCTCAAGGAAAAACAATGTAAAGGTTATCTCTGAGAAAGGTTGCAGTCCTCCTACATGTGCACAGCAGGCTGCTCGTTCACTTCTACATTGAATTTGGTTTAGTTTGCTCAGCATTCTTTCCATTTTGCTATCTATTACCTGTTACACTCCGCTTTGGCTCAATGGCTTCAGGTGTAAGCTGCAGTCACTAAGCACAAATGACTGCCTGGCTGACGTGCCTCAACAAATCTCATATTTCAAACCCTTCCCCATCAACAACTTTATCAGACTTTAAATGCAAAACCTAGAATGGAGTGGGTAGGAGTGATCTGAGACAGGGCAACAAAAGCTGAAATAAATTGACAGACAGCTCATTGGTGACCGACGGGCAGTTTGCTAGAGAAAAAATACACTAAGCAGAGGTTCAGAGAGAGAATGAGAAGTGGTGAGACCAGCTAATGATGAAAAAAAGGAGAAAAAGTTAGCAAGAGAGAAGTAGTGAAAGCTTGAGTGATCTCAACAATTTAGCAGGGGAAATGAGAGCAGTGGCTTAGAACTACACAACAGAAAAACGAAAAGAAGGAAACATATAAAGGCCCCTCGTATATGAGCAGTTTGCTAGGATTTGGCAGTGGCCTTCATCATCAAGTCTCCATCGTATCTTGGAGACCAGAAGACATATACAGCTATTGACTGATGCAGATTAAATCATCAGCCCACAGTGAGAATCTGCAGGATTAGCAAGAGGCCCACCCAAAGATACAATTTATGGAAAAAAATAGTCATTTGCAGACATGAAGGGGCATTTAAAAAAATTTTTTTTTAAAAAAGCAATAGTTTCAAGTCAGGTTCTCAGTGTAATACAGCATAGTGTCTTTGGCACTGATCTGAACTTGTGTGAGTTAACGTTAGTTCTGGCTAAGCAGTATCTCTCTGTGTGAAACTAAGAAAGAGAAACTGTTGATGTTTTTCACAGAATACCAGTTATATATTTATATATTTATTGGTGGCCTTTGGCAGCAAAGAATTCCACACCAACAGATAAGACTGCAGTACGAGTAGCTGAACTCTCAGCCTACTTAACCAAATTCTGCAGTACCATTTCATTATAGGGATTCCCAAAGGAACAAAATTCCCTGCGGACACCTTCATTTCACCTCTAAGCTTGGTGCCAACTTTCCCCTCTTACTTAGGAGTATTAACAATATTGTGAATGCCTCTCAAGAAGCCTGCTGGTTCTCAAGAGTATTATTTTACAGATGATGAAATACGTATTAAATACAGTAGGGCTGATCTGGGAAATCTACCCTTCTCTCGGAATATCCAGCTCTTTCACTAGCTATACCCACTATAAACAGAGAATACTACCATTACAATTGCTTTTGTCACCATTCACTTCAACAGCTCTCAACACATGGATTATTAGATCCTTATGTAAAATAATGGAGAGGAGATGGCAGCCCAAACGTGCAGTCATCACATTTCGAGCCATGCAGCAAAAAGAGGCATCGGTCTGTTCAACGCTGCTGCTTATATCTGAGCTCCTACCTAAACAGGAGCTACTTAAATATTCAGAACCAATTCTGACAGCAGGCTCAACAGTACATTTACTTCTTACTTCTCTTACTTACTCTTACTTACTCTTACTCCTGTCACAGCTGTTTCAATGAGAAAGCCATAAAAAGGGAAGAAGTTATGATTGTTTCTGCTTGTGTTGTAATTACTAAATGAAGTTGATCCTCATCCAGCCCTTTTGGGCCCAATTCTGCTCTTCCTGGACCAGCTCCAGCACTCTGTGCCTTGACCTTAGTATGACCAGTGAGTAGTGAAACCTTCAACAGTGTTCACATCCCAAATGAAAGAGAATGAAAGAGACTGCTGGTTAGGAAATGGCATGCCCTACTACTCATTGGCCTGTGCAAATGAGATGTTTGTTTCTTCAGCTAGTGCTTTCAATTTGCTGAAGACAATATGCATTAAAATGTATTTCAAAATAAGGTATTCCATGGGAGACTCTTAAGACTCATATCCCTATGAATATTGAACATCTACACTGAACATGAAGACAGGATTCAGACATCTATTGCAGCTTACGCTGAATGGGAGTCCTGCGTAAATTGCTAAGATGGCACTTAATTGTAATAAAAGTCTGAAGAGTCACAAAAAAACCCCAAACCAGAATGTTATCCATACAGAAGTATAAAATGTTCTTGAGGGAAAAATGAACAAAATTAACATATTTTAAAGTATAAATTGGAGGAAAATACACAATACCTTCATACAACAACAACAACAAAAAAGAGTACACAGAACTAAGAAAAACACAAAAATACAGCCCAGCAGAAGATGGGACTTGATATCCTTTTCTTTCTCTTCTCCATACCTGCTTCCTTTATCTCAGGTGCCAAATGCTCAATTACACACTTTGATCTCCCCAAAATGGGTCTTTGAATTTTCCTACCATGATAACTAGGATTGTAATTTTTTAACTTGACCAGGCCAATCACTCTTGCTTCATTCATCTGAAGAACCTTTAGGCTACATTTTGTCTCATGAGTTCAGTATCAATAATCTAGTACTGACACGTAAGACAGAATGCTGATGGAGAAGCACTATGTGAGAGGATATTTCACTGGACCAGGATACAGCTGAGAAGATGATGATGGTCCAAAATTTCCATGGACCAATGTTTTCGTACTTTAAGCACAGCTAAAACCTTGCAAGCTGTTGAATTACCAAAGAAGCTAACTTTCCACTTTCACTTAGATATGAAAATAAGAATTCCAAATTCTACAGAAGAGTTAGGACCTCACAAAAAGACACAGGAAATGCAGAACCAACTACTTCTGGTGCTACTGAGGCCATCAGATGTTGGAAAGAAAACTTCAGCATTCTGAGCCTCAGCAAATACTGAACTGATTTATCAAGTTTTCCTTCTAAAACTACAAACATTTCTTTGTATTTGGGGTTCTTCAATCACTCCCTTCAGTATAAGACAAGCTAGCAAAGAGGAAAACCTGATCATCAACAACAACCCTATTCTGCCATCCCAGAAGCTTTTCCAGAATAGATACATTGTTCTTCACAACTTTTCAGCACAGACTGATTATCAATAATACGGCTGTGCAAAGATTGCCTGGGTTTTGCACCAGTATTCTCCCCGGAAGAGGTGGGTTAGTTTCCACATCTCTCTCTTCTCCACATGCAAGTGCTTTTAAGGATGATACCTTAGGGTTTTTTGCCATATTCTGTCTACCTCTCAGTGGTGTCATTCATGATGCAGTCAATGATTGTTTCAGTGAAAAGACTATGACAGCTAAAAAAGGTTTGATATTTTTTCATACAAACATATGTGCTTGAAATTCAGTTTCCAAAGGGAAGTCAAGTAGCCTAAAAGCTACTACCTAAAGGTTCCTTTCATGAAGCATAGGAAAGACCACTCTCCACTGCATATCAAAAAGACAAACTTTGCATTCCCTCACTCACATATTCACCGCCCACCGGCTGGATTATGTGGGAAGGCTTTCCAGTTTCTCACATTGAGCACTTCAAGTTGCTGAAGGCAGGCAAAAAGTGAACAGCTTTTACATTCAACGTGGTGATAATGTGCTTGTTGTTTTAACACTTTCTGATGATTAAATAGCCATGCAAGTGCAAGCTCAACACGGAACACCATTACTCCAGTCAGGCTGTTTTGCAGAGCTCTTTTTACTATGTGGATCAGTACAAAGCTACAAACCCATGCTACATAGCCCTACAGTTGGAAAAATACTTTTATTTCCATAATAAATTACTTATTATGCAATTACTGGATCCTTGCGGATGCTGATTAAATCAGAAAAATTTCTCCATTCAAGCAGTATAGAGCATTTGTGAAGCCATAAACTTGTGTTTCCATGACCTTTGCTCTGCAGAGCAGGGCCTCAGGACATTTTATAAACAAACTAAATGCAGTTTAGGTTTTTCAGCAATTGGGTGGAAGTCCCAGGAGTATTTAACGCGCACCACTTTTTTATACTGACAAATTGAGATAGGGAATAGGCAAAGAAACAGTACGGACACTGCAGCAGCTATGGCAGTTACTATTGTGGCCAGGGCCAGAATGTTCATAAGCTACTTTCGAGGCTGCTTTATTAACATCCAACTTCTAAATCTTTCATCTGGTACAGTACAAACACTACTGCACCAAGTCATCTTCTAGTCCCAGAGATGTATTGAGTAACAGGAAGTCTTACCTCTAAACCTTAAGTCGTAACTCTTAACCTAAAATCCATTCTTGCTTCAGAACACTTCTTGCTTTGTACCTACTTTTAATTGTATTATGTCTGTAAACACAATTCTGCTCATTTATTGACTTTTTGATCATATTTTTAATGTACACCTATGATAGGGTAGCACAGATACAATTAATTAGACATCAAGTCTGTTTATGCCAATACGATGCCCAAGTCCCTGGACTTCATTTGAAAAAAAACACCTCAATGAATAGTTTGGTTTAGGAATCATCTGAGACAAGGTATTTGATCCAACTGCACCAGCAGAACTGTAGAAATAGACTCTTTTTCTCTCTAGTATAACACTAGTTTAATTTAGTTGCCTCCATAGCGTCTAATCTGATCCATACAATCTATACAGAACATATCATAACATGACCAAGCTCCTATTTTTAAGCTTGCTCTAAAAGCCTTTTCCCCCCCAAAAAAGTCTTTAACCTTTACCTTTAGAAATTATGTAATTACAGCAGTAGGAGGAATTAATTATCTACCTGCCTTTAGTAGCAGCACATGCATATGTGCATATAGAAACACATATAGAAAAAATAATCAAAGTAATACAATATTCTTTAGACTGATCCAGCTGTGAATACTAAAGCTGGAACAGAAATCAACTCCTCCTTGTTTTACTATCAAAGGAGCTGCAAGCCTTCAACGGGATATAAATAATTGTTGTTTTAACCTGCAGTCCATATTAAACTGGTTAAGGTAATAATTTATTATGTATAAATTTATTATATAAGGTAATCATAGAATCACAGAATGTTAGGGGTGGGAAGGGACCTCAGAAGATCATCTAGTCCAACTCCCCTGCCAGAGCAGGATCACCTACAGTAGATCGCACAGGAACGCGTCCAGACAGGTTTTGAATGTCTCCAGAGAAGGAGACTCCACAACCTCTTTGGGCAGCCTGTTCCAGTGCTCTGTCACCCACATAGCGGAAAAGTTTTTCATTTATCATTTCGAGCTTTGCAAAAAACCGAAAAACTCCACAGTTGTTCTGAAAGCTGAAAGCATCAGCATCCGAGAAGTGGATTTCCCTGCTTTTTCTGTCACAGAAGAGATAGAAAAATTTCCACATAAACAATTCCCCTGTCATTCAACTTGAACTTTATAGAAACAGGGCTGCTTAGCAAGAGTACCTTCTTTAAAGTCATCTTGCATGAGATCATAGAATCACAGAACAATTCAGGTTGGAAAAGACCCCTGGGATCATCGAGTCCAACCATTAACCCTACACTACAAGTTCACCCCTAAACTGTATCACCCAACACCACATCTAGATACATGCAGTGCTCAAACAGAGCTCAGGTCTACGGAAAGGCAAAGGAGAACATCACGGCAGACTGCAAGCCAGGATAGAAACAGAAAACTGGGTAACTTCAGACGAAGACCCTGTTAAATGAGCTGAACTAACGAAATGTGAGACAATTGCAATGAAAACTTTGGTATGTGTGACATTAATGAAATAGAGATATTTTGGAATTTAAACAGTAATTAAAGCTCATATTACTCAACTGAAACACTAGCAAGAAAAATCCCAAATTAAGTCCTATACATCTTAATGAAAAATTTTATCTCTGATAGATCTAGAGCACGTTAAAACTTGGGTTAAAGGCCTACACAGTACTAGATAAATATGTGTCGTGGGTTAGGGCTGGGCCGGCCTCTTAACAAGGACAGATGCTCTCTAACCCCCTTTTTCCCCCAAAAA